TCTTAACACTAGTGCTACCACGTAGCGGCACCCTCCATCTACGCCCAGGGGAAAGTGATTCCCAAACCGGGTCCGGTTGTTTAGACACTGCCTAAATAATAACAACGAGAGACATTGACATTGTCATTGACATGGGGGAGAATACTTACTGACTGACGCCTTAATTTAAGTAAATGGTAACGTCAATCGGTAACAACAACAACAACAACAACAACAACAACAACAACAACATATTAAATTATACTGTATAGTGTATACAGCTACAGTACAGTATCAGATGTTGTTGAACGCCCACCTTGCTTGAGAACTTTGTCTCTCTCTCGCTGGTCTTTTACTAGCGGCCGCGGTTCCAGCCTGTACTTGGAATGAAACGCTCCATGGGTCGCTCTGTAATAAATCCAAAAAGCCACAGCCAACGTGACAACTGTTGGCACTATAAATACTAAATATAGTGGCCGAAACGCATCGGCAAAGAAAGACAACAACACTTCAACAGCCATGATTATTGTGTGTGTGTTTGTGGTGTATCCTTGCGCCATCTATCAGGAGCGATAAGTACTAATCGTACAATTATGTGTCAAACTATTACGCCAGTGAGGTGTACCGTGCGTGCGCGTAATATATGATATACATACATATATTGTATTTATATGTATATATACAGGCCCGTAGCCAGCTAATTTATATTGGGGGGGTTCGTTTTTAAATGTTGGCCATTTGGTCGGGCGGGAAGCGACCGAGCGAGGGAGCATAGCGACCGAGTAGGGAGAGGGTGTTGGATGGAGGTGTCCTCCCTCCCACACGATGGAGATTTTGCATTTATTACACTAAAATGGAGCGATCTGGTGCATATCCGAGATGAAATTCTTGCAAATTATTATTTTTTTGCTGGGGGGAGGACACCCCCTTTTTTTGCTCGTGCGAACTCCCGAACACCCCCTGGCTACAGGCCTGCCGCCTGTATATATATATAGCTTTTATTTATTTCGCGCAATAGCGAGTTTTGGAAGTTGAAGAAGCTCCCATTGCGGTATACAATACAAGCAGGCACGCACGCATGCCCGCGCACGCACACGTACATACTCAAATATGACGCTGTCAGGGTCACGTCATTGAATCCATTCGCGCGCATCTGTATCAGTGGGTGACATCAGTAGCTACTAACAAGAGCTAATGCCTATAAGGACCTCATTCGGTATCAGGTACACCTTGCGGCCCAATTTCAATCTACAAAGGAGAGCAGGGGAGGTAAAGGAGAGGAGAGCAGGGGAGGTAAAGGAGAGGAGAGCAGGGGAGGTAGAGGAGAGGAGAGCAGGGGAGGTAAAGGAGAGGAGAGCAGGGGAGGTAGAGGAGAGGAGAGCAGGGTAGGTAGATGAGGAGATACGTACAAAGTACAGTAGGAGAAGGAGGGGAGGTAAGGGAGTAGTGAGAGGAAGGGAGGTAAGGGAGTAGAGAGAGGAGGGGAGGTAAGGGAGTAGTGAGAGGAGGGGAGGTAAGGGAGTAGTGAGAGGAGGGGAGGTAAGGGAAAAGTGAGAGGAGGGGAGGTAAGGGAAAAGTGAGAGGAGGGGAGGTAAGGGAGTAGAGAGAGGAGGGGAGGTAAGGGAGTAGTGAGAGGAGGGGAGGTAAGGTAGTAGAGAGAGGAGAGGAGGTAAGGGAGTAGAGAGAGGAGGGAAGGTAAAGGAGTAGAGAGAGGAGGGGAGGTAAGGGAGTATAGAGAGAGGAGGGGAGGTAAGGGGGTATAGAGAGAAGAGGGGGATCAGACAAAACGGAGCTTAATTATTCACTCCTGATCACACGGTAGCTAGCATATACGCATAAGAGTATTATGGCAACTTAGTACAAACCTCCGCTACTCCACTCTATATACAATCCGAACTCGATATGGATACGGAAGGTTTACTTCACTCGCTCGCTATACGCACGACCGCCACGACTGAAAGTTCAATGCCCCTCCTTTACCTCCCCTGCTCTCCTCTCCTTTACCTCCTCCTCCTCCTCCTCCTCATCATCATCATTTTCACGTACCTCGTCACGTAGTGAAAAGCGAGGTCATTGAGGTCATTAAGGTCATTAATTGTGGCCACACCAGAGCATTAAAATTCTCCGGTACTCTTTACAGTCACAACAATCGGAGAATACATCACGGGTGATAGGAAAACCGGATCCAGAGCCAGCGCTCTTACTTCTAAGGAAACATTTACCCTGCTAAGGAATTAAATTACAAGAAATCAAAAGTTTTGAGAATGAAATATTAGAAAAAGAAAGCATCAGAAATGGCAGAGCACAATAATTTATTTGGACAATCAAAAACTGAAATCTGAACAGGCTAGATAGATATATATACACAGGGTTAGAAATTAACTTTTGAACACGGGAGTCCAACGGACTCCCTATACCCTCAAAAAGAGGGAGTCCACAGCAAAATGAGGGAGTCGGCAGTCTGAAGTTCAAAACTAGATATTAACAATAACGCATGTGCTTATTTTGAAGATTCATGCCAATTTTTCTTTGGACATTTGATGAAAAAATACGGCAATTCCGCGAGGCCGTGCTCTGGAATGAACTAGATAGTATAGAAGAATTTTCAGGGAGTCACACGGACTCCTGCATATGTCAAATCAGGGAGTCCACCCTGACAGAGAGTCAGGAGGGGGGGGGGCACCACAACCAAACTGTGGACCCACACATATATGAGTTAAAAGTAGAATATACTCTATTGTGCTGCTTGCATTGGTTATAGGCCGATCTCTTTGACCAACAGTCTGAATATGCTACCTATAAGGATTTCTGTATTGCACACAATGACAGCTAGTGGCCAAGAATTTTGTGGGTCGACAAACTGTTTGTTGTGGCTAAGAATTTTTCGGGACCACAAACTGTTTGTGGTGGCTAAGAAATTTTTGGGTTCAAAAACTGTTTGTGGTGGGCACGAAATTTTTAATGGTTTTATTGCCTTAGCCGCGCAAGTTTTAATTATGTATGTATTATTTTTTTTTTTTTCTATAGTCTACATACTGCACCACACATACTAAAAACACATTTTTGTATTATTATTTCACACATATACCGTAAGTGTTTTGCTCACATGACCTAGTAATGCGCACGCACACACACAGGAAGAATGAGAGGGAGGAGAGGGCAAGGGAGAGAAGCATGCGTGCACGCGCACACACGTGATTATAAAATTAGATATATAAAATTGGATAATGAATGCACGTGCTACACAATTTTGTTTTATTTAAAAATTATAGTAAAACATTAATATAACGTCAACACACAACTTGTAGTCGAGTAAAAATAAAAATTGACGTTTTTCAAGAGATAGCAATGCTAAATTAACCTGTTTGCAGCAAGACAGGTTAAAGGTATATCTGGTAAAGCCAAACCACCAAGTGGTTTGGCTTTACCAGATATTAGAGACTGTTTGGGGAAATTATATATATATATATATATATATATATATATAGTAAGTGTAGTATGTATAGATAACTATGACCGCCGGATTGCACATAACTTGTAAGGTTTGGGTGTCAGTGTTATTCCCAGAACACCCTTCATGTCTGGCTGTGCAGCGCCATCTGGTAGCTGAAAGCTGAACTTCTGCAGCAAGCATGTGAAGAATAAGAACAGCTCCATCTTAGCTAAGCTCTCGCCCAGACATTTCCTCTTCCCTGAAACAGAGGAATGCATTCACACATTCAGTGAGGGCCACAATGTATATATCCACCTGCAGAATAACTATATCCCAGTACTCTGGTGACTACCATCTGCTACTTCATTAAACACTAGGTGATACCAGTATGTAAACTCTCTAAAATGTTTAATTACCTAGTATAATCAGTAAACTAGTGAATATATAAAGAGAGACAGAACTGTCTAATATTTCTGGATTAGACTAAAAGGCTTTACGGTAGAAATCAGGAATTTTGAAATATACGATTTTCTGGCTGTGTTTTCACTTTTGTTTCAGAGACAACATAGAGATGCTACTGGTACTAAATCCATCCTCACCGACTGAGAAAGGTACGAAGCCCTCAGGGATGAGCACCTTCCCATCCAGACTGAGGAACCTCTCGGGCCGGAACGCTGCAGGCTCTGGCCACAGCTTGGGGTCGGTATGCACGGCGTACAGATTGGGAAATATCGTGGTTCCTGCCGGAATCGTGTAGCCCCCAAGCTCTGCCGGTCCCGCGTTGTTCGCATGCATCACACCTGCGCGCGGAAACAAAACTTGCACGGCGTTCGCACGCATGCTCTGAAGACCGCACGGTCAGTCTCGCGTCTTTACGAATGGATTATTAAAGATGCATATATAGGAGCATTAGGGTTGTGGATGTGTGGACGCTGCAGTTATAGGTTTACACGTTATATACATTTTACATTCATACAAAATAACTTGTTTGCCAGGGGATTTACTAACCCAATAGTGTAGCAATTTAAGATATAATCATGGTCACATATATAATTACTACTAGTGCTGCTATATATAACTGTGTATAAAAGTGTGATTGTTCCGTTATTGAATGTCTTACCGAGAGGCACAACATTAGCCATACGCTGTATTTCTAAGATGGTCGCCGCCGTGTAGGGCATCTTTGGCATGTCTGACATCGAGGGCCTCTTGTTATCGCCAACTTGCTCGTCTATCTCTTTCTGGATGTGCTGAAAACATTATAACAATGGTCGCAAGCATGGTCAGTGATTACTCCCATAAAAAATACCTGTGTATACAGATGCTACCTCCGTTGTAAGCTTGTCATCAACATGATAAAAATTCACTTTTGTGACTCTCATATGGAGTTGAAATCTCAGCTAAAATCACAGCTATCGTTAGAATGGTTATATCCTCTGCAGAACTATTTCATTTGCTTCCTAGAGATCAGTGGAAATCCTAGGTGATGTACAAATATATGGATATTACAGAACTTTCACGTTTCAAAAATGCAATTGTCGAAAACGATGTTTGATTCGACAAGGAAGATATATACTAACTAATTCTTGGATATGGCACTCTCGTCTAACTTTAGCAGTATACTAACCTGCTGGATGTGTGGATGTAGCATCATGTATAGAAGGCCCCAGGATAGAGTGGTGGTTGTCGTGTCAGTGCCTGCACTGAACAGTTCTCCTATGAGAGCTCTGAGTTGTATGTCTGTAAACAACACAGAATAACAGCACGTAAACAATGATGCTCACAATTCTTTTCCCCTTTTCTTTTTCTCAGTCAGAAAGCAGATGATCTGCTATGGTCACGAGCGCGTCAAAAGTTCACGTAAAGCCGAATATGAAGCATATGCATCAACTAGCACAACTCGCGTCTATTCTAATTTCTTCTCTTTTTACCAAACATCTACAGGTTTTGTCGAAATATTTTGGAATGGCCAGGTGTGTGTTAACCAAAACCAGACTGATCTCGCTGACAGGCGACTTTCAATTAACCGGTATTGACAGGATGAAGGAGGCTACTGGAACATTACTGGTTGCTAAATTCAGGTTGACATTAATAACAAACCAAAGTTCGTTACACGAAAGAAATTTCTGAAAAAAATATACAAAAGTTTACACTCACCGCCCTCTGGTGGAATCGTCAGCAAACTCACCGTTGAATACATCAGGACCTGCGTCTTGCTCTGGCTGCTTACTGCATGATTCCTGTTGTAACAAGTGAGCGTCTATGAAGTCGTTGACCCGACCGTCGTGGAACGCCTCTCTGTGCTTCTTGATGTGGTCCATGAAGTAGGTCTCGTGCCACTCCTGGTTTTCCATCACCGTGCTCAGCCTGGTGAGTCGAGAAAATATCCTGAAATGAAGCAAAAACGCATCGTTTGCCAGAACAGCTTGACGACAATAACAGCCAACAGTAACAAGACACAGGTGCGCAGATAGCGGACAGCAAAAGCAAAAAAACCGTCTTCTGTTACAAAGCTTAAAATGCTAATTGCTGACCAGCTGACTGTCATGGACCCTTGGCAAATGAAACCACTGTTTGGTGAATTCACTACTGCATGCCTTACTCATACACACGACTCAGCGACACTTATTCATTGTGCAGCCTGCTACCTCTTCCCCCCTCCCATCCCTTCAGCAGAGTGCACAATATGGCATAGCATGTACCTATATCCGTATATATAATACTTAGAGAAAGAAAGTACCTATATAAGAACCTAACCCCAGCCTCACACGATATTAATTCAAGGCAAGCACTTACATCCTTGACTTTACTCGCTCGACTTTCAGACACCTCTACGAACGTTAGTTCCAGTCGCCGCCATTACATTACTACATCTCGTGACCTAGATCTAACCCGATCGCAGACGCCTGCATGCCTAGCAAACACGGACACTGGAGACGCACTACAGGCTGCCTCCACACGTTCCAAATACCTGAGGAAGGGCAGGAAGTTGAGAGCGAAGGCCGAGCCAACGATGCGGATGTTCGTCTGGATGGAGGCGATGACACCCGTAAATTCTGCGTCGTCGTAGCCGAAGTGCTGGTTGAAGATGACCTTGCCGATGACATTGGCGATGCTGGCGTCTAGCAGACGACTGAAAGGACAACGCGGCACTACGATGCAGATGCAGGCGACATTATAACGCACGCCAGCAGGCATCGAGCGAATGTAACCGTAGCGACGATAAAACACTACGATGTGTGTGCAAGTTATACGTGCATAGGTGTGCGCAACGTGGTAGCGATTTTATGAAGTGTTAGTAGTGTAGGCCCTATAAATGAGTACATACAATTTAGGACAGCTTACGAGTACATTACCCATGACACACACTACTGCTACTTGACTGTAGTAGCAACAGATCGGTCTACGAGCGAATATCTCACCTGAAATCGAAAGCACGTTGCTTCTTTTCTTCGATGGCCGCCAGGAGAATGTCGATCTCGTCTAGAATCTTGGATTCCAGCGACGACCTGCCCATTCCCATGTCTCGCAGGCTGGAGAGACAGAAGCGCCGGTTATACTTCCAGATGGCGCCCTCTGTTAGAATCACACCTGTAACAGTTGAAATACACTCGGCATGAAATTTCGTCAACACTCACATTTCGATGATCCCGATTCTATATCAAAGTGCGCGTAAAATCGCACCAATTAAAACATACCTTACTCGTTTTACTCTGTCTAAATATTTACTATTACAAGTACATAAAACTTGTTATATACGTATGAACTGTAATGCATGCTGCATTCCAATGCCACCTATTTCTCTAGCAATCTATGTCTCTATGTCTCTATGTTCAATATGTTGTGCTATGTAACTGTGGTTTTTCAACATTACATGTTTGTATGTGCGTGCGCGTGTGTGCGTGCACGTCTGCGTGTGTGTGTATGTGCGTGCGCGTGTGTGCGTGCGCGTCCGCGTGTGTATGGGGGCGATCGCGACTGCACTCACCCCGCGTCCTGTTCTCCGACGTCACGTTGAAGAGGAACATGTCAGGTCTTCCGGAGAACTCCTCCCTCTTGAAGGCTTCCTTTATCAGCTCGTAGTCGTTGACGACCACCACCAGCTTCTCCCCCATCCACAGATGAAGCAGCTTCCCGTATTTCTCCCCCCAGCGCGCGAAGTCGATGTGAGCGTCGCGCGACAGGTACGGGAGGTGACCGACGACCGGGAAGCGGAAGCCGACGCTCGGAGGCAGGTTGCCGTGGGAGACGCGACGCTGGTCAAGCAACCAGACGGCCGCCAGGAAGATGAGGAAGAGCAGGAGGAGGAGCGAGAGCATCGCGAACGGAGAAAAAACGAGAACGAAGTGCGATGGAAGGTGCGAGGAGTGCTAAGTGCAAGGAGCAGCGACTTATTGTGTCGCGAGCAGAGTATCGGTCCCTTCTAGTGCCAGCGACCTTTGCTCAGGGTATTGCGCGCGTATCAACGGCAGCAAACACAGACTGCAGCCTGCCTGCAGCAGACTGGCTATAGTTTATGCTATCGAAGGCATATCGATTGCACTGATATTAGATTAATCTTACCATCTGTGGTGGCGCTACGCAGAAGAGAGAACAAATATACAGACGTTAATGTTGTATACACATCAGGATTAATGTATCACTGTCAGTGCGACGATATCATATCATCACATACGTTACATACGTCCGTCTTTCTTGAAGGTTGCAATAAACGAGAAATTAAATATATGCTCTCGATATAATTAACCGCGCACATATGAATAGGCTGGAAATAAACAGCCACATTGGAAACTGCGTAATCGTATTTAATATGCAAATTAGTTTATGGCATCATATAGTCACGGAGCCTGGGGCAGATAAGGTCTATGTCCCCCTGACCTCTGTTTGACCTGGCTCGTTTAGCTATTTCTGACTAATATATATATAATATAAACACTGGTTATATATTCCCTAAAATAGCTGCTCGACTATTGGTAATATAATCAACAAATGCTCTTAAATTAAAAGTGGATTAAGTGATAATTGCATATTTCAATATGCAATGTTTTAATAAATAAGACCTATAGCATTGCTCAATATTCCTGGTTTGCTTACCAACGAGTTAAAATACGCAATAATAGTTGTGATCGTGCCTGCGAGGCGAAAAAAAAACCTTATCACCTACAGTACAGCAAGCATTCTGTTTTAGATGTGACTGTGTATGATATGGGTGAACGACGACTCACACAAGTGTACATAATGTTCCAACTGACTGGACATCCTCCACACCCCATGGTAAAAGATACGACTTCTGGATACAAGATGGCAGCACCGGAGGACAGAGCCTCTTTAATTAAAGCTGAATTACCACCACACCTGCCCACTCACACCAAAGAGCCCATACCTTTTATTATAGGCTGTTTACACTTAACACATTCCCCGCGGATCCACGAGTCAGCTCGTGGATAGATTATACTGTGTAGTATATAAAATTTCGAGGTATTTTTGCATGTAGAAAAACAAAACAAGGTTCATACCCCACAAGTGTAAGCGTTGTCACATTTCTTTCCGGAAAAAATAGTATACTTTCGAATGATATCATAACAAACTCGCGAAAATCCACCGGTGCGGTGGCATTTGAGACGAAAATGCACGAAATGCCCGTTTTTCCCTGTTTTCATATCAGTATATTATTATGAAGGGGAACAATTTTCATACTATTTGAACGTGTAAGGATGAGATAACACTCATGCAGAGTAAATTGTTTGGTTAGCTTTTCTGCAAAGCAAATGTGGTAAATCATAAAGTAAATATGCGGTAAAAACGCGAAAATCCCAGCGCAGGGCGGTAGGTACATTGTTAACACCGGCAGCGTTGAACGTGTTAAACATGATATTTTTAGCTGTTACATCAGTGCACATGCCACTTGGCAGGCAACCAATAGAACCAATCCCCTGTCAATCATCACACAAGCTCCTTGTTGTGGTAATGAAGCAGCTTTCATCAACAAGTCCTGCGCGCAATCTCGTGACGTAACTCCAACGAGAGATTAGCTCACACTCGCCCCCGCGCTTTCTTCCGCACGATTCCGCCAGCTTCGACAAAGGTTGTTTAATACGCAGCGACGAACCGAACGTTCATCATCATCATCATCATCATCATCATCATCATCATCATCATCATCATCATCATCATCGTTACGACATCATCATCGAAGACAAAAACGTTAATTTTGTATAGTTTTATTATAATAAACATTGTGTGCAGTTACATTTTACACAAACGAGAGTTGGCTACGGAGGACAAAAACTTACTTAGGGACCGCCCGATCTGCTGATTCGTCTTACTACGCACGACTCGCAAAAATGCGAGTCGACCTCACCACTGATACACACGACCTCATGATCGAGGTCACAGATGCAGGCCGGGTGGCATGAACTCTCACTTCACTCTCGCTATGAACTGACTTCAAACACGGGTTCTCGCGTGAAGCTATATAACTTCAACCTGATAATCGATAAACACATGAACAATTCGTACCCGTCACACGCGCCCAACCCACCCATGCCGCTATTTCATTTTAAAATATTTACAATCCAAATCGTTTCGTTTATATCGATGCAGTGTATTATGGTGTCACATGATGCACATTCACGGTTGTAGATAACCCAGTCCTCAACACCACAGATGGCAGCAGCAGCAGCAGCAACAGCAACAGCAGCAGCAGAAGCCACCAGATCTTAGATTATTCAGCTGCTGTCCATAACTCATAAATCATCTTCTAGGAAAAAGTCTACAGCTAGCTAGCAAAAGTGTAACTATCAAATCGTAAAAATTTGAAAAAACCGACTCCCTGTCCCTCCCCCCGGTGAAACTCAGGCACAATTAAACGTTTTCCATGTTGGCTACAAGCAGGTACTCATCTCAAAAGATTTACAAAAAACTCAACACCATGCCCACACACGCTCGACTCTACTGGAATAGATGGGCCGATATTGTCGCAAAACCAAATCCCGCAAAGGAAAAGATGCCACGGACATTGAAACACGAACGGCTAACGCTAAAAATCAAATCGTTTTACAAACACACAAAATCCGCGCCCTGCCACAGCACGATCGAAAACACCGCCGTCTACTGAGCACAGACATACCAGTACAGACCTGCACACACGTGCAGCTGCATTGAAATCAAGGCAGTGTTTCCGACCAACACACACACACACACACACACACACGCACCTGCTTTCAGCAGAATAAACTGAGCCGCGAGTGCCCACCTGTCAAGACACGCCGAAGAGCGATGGGCGAAACACGCCGAGGATGCGGGGAACACGCCCCACCCCCCACTAACGCTTCGACGCATCGCTACCTCTGTCCACGCAACGTGACTCAAAATTCGCTGCACTGTATCGCCCCACCGACGGCCAGCCGTGAGCACTACTGCTCGGGATATGTGGGACACGTTACCAGTATGGCGTAGGAAACGAGCAAAGCTGTGGCAGCATTTAGCAATGCAGCCACATCGAAATCGGCAATTCTTCGCGATTAGGGGGACGAAGAGAAGATGAGGCGACTGATGAAAAGCAGCTGCCTGACGTGAGATATGGCAAAGGAATAGTAGTGAACGAGTTCAGAGGTCAAGCCTCTCTAGCCGATGCGTCGCCGCGGTAACGTTCTCCCTCGCGTTCGTTCCGCTCCCACACAGAATCAAACGTGTCGCGCCCCCCCCCCCTCCGCGCCCCCGGCCGATGTTTCGTCTCGCGCCCCCCCCCCCTCCGCGCCCCCGGCCGATGTTTCGTCGGTCAACTGCGAATAAAATTAGAACCGAAGCCGAATGTAACAGAAAATGGACGAAACGGGATGAGCTGTTGACGTGGGAGGCGGCGGCGTGGCAGGCCGTCAGCGGGGCGTGGCGCGTCCGCGTGCAGACGATGTCGACTTGAAGGTGACAGAGATGATGCCGGTGAGAAGCTTCGATGCGATGGATGAAGGATGACGATGACGACGACAACAGACGCTCACGTTTATAGAAGCCAGCCTCCTGTCTGCTCCTGATACACCTCTATCACATCCTCATTCTCCATCTCCAACTGTCGAGAAAGCAAACAACGACGTGTAAATATCAAGATAGTAAGGCGGCTTGTTTTCAACAGAAAAGCAACACAAATAGATAAAGAAAATAGATATATACACCCAACACCAGTGTTACAGACAGTTCTGATATATTCCCGAGAGATCTTTATGAAGCAGTGCTGCTTTAGTTCTATTTTAGCACTGCGCAATTATCGCCTGATCTATTAGTACCTGCTTAGGTGTGTCGTCATCATTTATCCGTCGTCCATCGAATAGGAATCTCAAGGAACTAGCCGGCATGCCCTACACCAACGAAACCAAGATAAATAATGATCGAAGTACTACTACTAAAGCAGGGTCTCCAACCCTGTGAACTCCAAATGCGGAATGTTTCTGGCGGTGATGAGTAACTAGTGGCGTATTCAGAAATTGATGGACAGGGGGGGGGGGCGAAATGTACCTTGGCTGCCGCAGGCAGGCCCACGTGCCGTAAGCATGCCAGTGCTAGCGGGGTCTGGGGGCATGCTCCCCTAGAAAATTTTGAAATATTTAAGCCATTTTCCTGCAATCTGCGGCATACTGTGGGCCATATTCTCATGTCTGATGACACTAATCTCAACCCTAGACTCAACCCTACAAGTTAGGATTCAAAACACTTTTCATTCCTCCGTGCCCCACTTGAAAGTCTGTCTTGCATACCATATGCAATAGCCATGACTAACACTGAGTTTCGACCTCACAAGTACAGGACACATTTGTTTATATTCGTTCCTGAATTTCTGTAAAAGTCAGGGTTTTTTGGTTGGCAATGTGGATGCCATTCTCCCCATGTGTTACATCTGATTAGCAGACAAACTACGCGACACCTTGCAGACAGCGCCTGTCTGACTAGGCTGTTCCATTTACCGTAGACATGCCAGATACAAAATGCATAGAAACACATTATAACAGTGAGCGATGGTAGGAGGGGGGAGGGGTGCGAAGCTAAGATAATGGCAGAGAGCACTATGAGTGTGTATTTCCAGGAAACGACTTGGGCAGTGAGGGGCTATTAATAAACTTGCTGCATCTCCACTGCACCAGTGCAAGGCCAGTGCTCAGGCACCAGCTGAAAAAAAACAATGTGTCCAAGCAAACAATGCGAACAATCAGTGCAAATTTTGCACAGTGCAACTGAAATGAGGAATATAACCTTGCCGCTGCGGAATGCGGAAATTAAGGTTAGAAATCGTAATGATTCCGCAGAATGAGGAATGGTTGGAGACCCTGCTAAAGTGGTGAAAGAAAAATTCATGATTGCTGATTGTGAGTAAACTCGGTTTCTAAATGTGCTTTTTAAATTTGTTTGTGAAGTATTGGGTTTGAAGATCTTCAACGTTGTAATGATACCGATTAACTCTTCTTCCTCCTTCAAGCGGGTTTTCGAGAAAGCACATTGATGCCCTATATATGGCATTGTGCAAGATCCAGATAACTACATACCACTCTCTCACTGTAAGACTTCTTCAACTTTCCAAGATTTGTCGTCATCTTCACCTTGAAATGAATCTCACCTTGGTCCTACAACAACAAGCAAATGGAAGACATTACACGACTACAGTGGCACAAAACAATAGTTAATAAATACATAATATAACGTCACAATATTAGTAAATACAGATTAAAAAAGGACGTATTCACATGCACCAATATACACTGAACACTAGTGATGTCACGATCATCGATTATACTCGATCATCGGTTGAACAGTGGCTCGAACCAAGCGCCTAGTGATGTCACGATCATCGATTATACTCGATCATCGGTTGAACAGTGGCTCGAACCAAGCGCTTGGTTATCAAAATCCATAATCAATTTCATTAAAAAAAAAAAAAATTTAAAAAAAAATTTAAAAAAAA